GTATAATATTACGGGAATAACGGGATTTGATGATACACAAATATCCCATCGTGAAATTAGTTTTTGTGAAGCGATTGTGACGCCTAGTGGATTCACCTGTCCAGTAAAGGAGAATTTTGATTTTATCGCAAAGTTTGTGGAAGCATCATCTCCTAATGACCCTAAAAATACTGTAAAAGAATATTTAATAAGAATACAGAGTGAGTTTTTAACAAAATTTTGAGTTTTAACTTTAATAATTATTTTAATTAATAACCTTTTATTATGTTTTATATAGTAACAAATCCTGACGGTAAAGATTTATCATGTATTGAAGGGAACATCAAAATTTCTTATCCATAATCGATAAGATAAAGTTTTTATTTACTATAATACCTGTCTCTTATACACATCTAGATGTGTATAAGAGACAGGTATAATTTTGGCCAAAATTATGTTAATTTTTGGCCGGAATTATGATATACTAATATAAGAAATTTTTTATATAGTCACATCTCTTTATAATCACCAAATATGGACTGTCCCAAATGTGTGACTATAAAGAGAGTTGACTGTAATTGATTTATAAATTACAATTTATTTAATTATTTAAATATGTAGTTTTTTTTTGGATTTTTCAGATTTTTATTTAAAAAAAAAATATTACTTGAAATTAAACAACTTTATAATAAAAAAAGTTGTTGAATTTCAGAATTATATAATAATAAAAAAAGTTGGTTTCATTAACTAGTAAAATGGTAAAATTATGCTCTAAAGTTAATAAATAGAAAAATAAAAAATAAAAAATAGTAATTATAAAAACTATTATATCTTATCTTATAAAAATGTAGATTTACTTAAATATAAGAAATAATTTATATGACCAAAATAGTAAATAATAAAATTATATTTTAAAGTAAATATATTTAAATTTTATTTAACAATAATAATACTTAGCTAAACTTTTTTTTTGCCAAAAATTTCAGGTTTGTTATTATATAAAATTATAAAAATATATAAAATTATATTACTAACCCTCCTTCAACGAAATCTGCATTCTTTTGATAGCTTTCTCACATACAAGCACCGCTCTTCACCAAAAATTATTTTTACGTCTTCCAATGTATAATGATATTTATAGCGATGATGATGAACAAGTATTGGATCTAATGGATATATTAATTTAAGAAAAGAATGTATTAGTTTATATATAATAGTTTTATAAATTCTTTTTAAAATATTATATTTTAATATAAATTTAATATAATAATTTTATAAGTAATAACATTTTGTAATTTTCCTTATATTGAAAATAGGATTCCTGGCTAAAAATAACTTATTATATATAAAGTTTGTATAATACATTACTTAATAGCATATACAGTGTGTAATAAAAAAAACCAGAATATCATTCATATAATAAAAATGCGTATTATACACTCAAAATAAATCTGATTTTCTTTGTATAAATTGGATAATAAACCTATGTCCAAGATTTATATTATGATATCTTTTAAAATTATAATTACTTCATTAATTTTTGAAAAATTTTACTGTAAATATTTACTTTGAATAGAATAATATAATAAAAAAATAAACTAAGATTACAAAGCATTTGAATATTGAATTTAAATTAAAAACATTCAAATATTGTTAAAAATAATGTAAAAAAGTTGATACCAAAAAATCAACAGTATAGAAACATTTATGGTAGAATAATAAGAAATTTACTCTTCAAAATTCCTCAATTTCAATATATAGTAAAAAAGCTAAAAAATTATTTAAATTGCAAAAATATGTGTAGTTCGCTTAAAATAAATCCAATTTTTATCATTTAAAATGCAAAATAAATTTGAATATCAGGGCTATATTCTGATATCTTTCATGATCATAATGCTTTTTTACTTCTTGAGAAAATTAACTACAAGTGTTGATTTTTGAAGAAAAAATATAATTTGAAATTTGTGAATTTATAATGAATACAAAGTCATTGAAAATTTCTCAAATATTATCAAGACCAATAGAAAAGTATAAATTAAAAAAAATTTTTTGACTATCTACTGCACTTTATGCAAAGAAATACACATTAATTCTAAATTAGTTATAAAAAAGTTTTAATCTAAAAAAATTATTATTAAAAGCTTAATTATAAAAAAAATTACTGCATTAATACCATTTTAATTTACTATTGATAAAATCTACAGGTTTTCAGCTTTCGAATAAGCTATTTTACATATAATTTGGTGTGATCATCATGGTATTACAGACAATTTTTTAATTCTGATTTTTTTTGTTACACACTGTATATAGAGTACTTTAATGATATGATAAGTAGTTTATAATTAATTATATTAGAATAGTCATGTAATTCTATACTTTACATATTTTATATTACTTAGATTTATTTTAATAAATTTATAAATGTACTGCAATAAAAAACAATTTTATAAGTAATTATTATAATTAAAAATCTATGGAAATATTATAGAATATTAAATTTTAGCATTTCATCTTTTAATTTTAAATGTTTAAACTATTTCAGTTTTATTAAATAATCAAATATTTTAGTTTTATCTAATATCATTATTTAACATAAATATATAATATAGTAAAAAAAAAAAATAAAATTAAAAATTATTAAAATCACTAATGGTAATTAATTAAATAAATTTTTAAATAAAATTAATTAGTAAAATTAAATAAAACTACTTGTTACTATATATGATATTAATAATATTAATATAATAAAAGTATTTGCAAAATATTTTATTTTTATATAAAAATCAAAAATAGTATTTTAAATCCTTTTTGATATATTAAATAAAATTATAAAGTAGGCAAAAATGTGTATTTACTATATGGTTTTTAAAAGTGTTATAATAGATATATAAAGCCAATAAAGATTTATACCAAAAATATAAAAAAATAAAAAAAAATTGAGAATTAGAAAAATTGGTAAAAATTGGCAAATTATTAAAAATTGCCAAGAAGTAATATATTACATATGCAAAAAAATATTAAATCCTAATAAAAAATATAAGTTAATTATAAAAAGACTTGTGTTAATTATTTAATAAATTTAATTATTATAACTTATTTATTAGTAAATAAGCAATATTTTTTATGTATTAAATTATTTATTAGTATTAAAAACTTTAATTATGATTTGTTATTTTTTAAAATATTTCTAATTTTTATTAAAAGTAAAATTATTAAATGTAGTTTTTTCTTCTTTTTTTATAGCTTATTTGAAATCATTAATATCATTATTAACTTTGATAATAACTTTGAATTTAAGTGATTTGTTTTACCAAAAAATTACAATAGGTATCATTATATTACAAATATTAATCAGATAATTAATTATAATAATAATTGCATTAAAAAATTGGGTATTGCTAAATCTTTTTATGGGTAATTCTTATTGCAGAGGTAATATTTAGCAATACTCAAAACAATTTATTAAAATAAAATTGTTGAAATTATTATATTTTATTAAGAAATTAGATTGCCAGATTTTCTTTATTAATATCTAACCTTTTATTAAATTATATTTATAATAAAAAACTGATTGTTTAATTGATTTAAACAATATAAATAGATTATTTTAATGTTTATATTGTCTAATATATAAAAATAAAATTCATATTAGAATACCATTTGTATCCTAATAAATATTAGTTTTCTTTTTTGGCCTTAATATTTCATAACTATTTTTGGATATAACTAATATGGCATGATTACTGGACCGAAAGAAATTCTGTTTAGAAATCGTTCGAATCATCACATGATTTATCTATCATATTCGGTCACCTCGCGTGACAAATATCTAAATTTAAGAATAAACCCCTAGTTGCGAAAAATAATCTATAAAATTACTAGTCCCTAGTCCTAAATGAAAATGATTCTCACAATCATGCCACATAACAATAAAAGATTTACAAAAATATTACATCACAACCGATAAGTTTTTTTGCGATTTAATTAATCAGAAATAACGTAGGCTGATCGATTAAAATGATATGTAAAAAAAAAGTATATAGTTTTTGCTAAAATGAATAAATAATTTGTAAAAGTTCATTTCAGTAATCTTTTACATAATAAAATTTTTTTTTTTTAAAAAAAAATACATATTTATATATTGTTACAAAAAAAAAGTATAAAAAAGAAGAAAACTAAAAACCATGTTTTTTTCAAATTGCGCTAGAGATGAATATGTAAAGCAAGAAAAATATGTATAATTGTCGTTATAAAAACATACGTTTTACAACAAAATAACCTAAACAAATTAACATAATGTATCAAAAAAAAGCCTATTCCCAGTCACACCTCATTTACCATCCAAAATACTAGAATACTAAAATTAATTGTTAAATGTCGATAATTTTGTTCATTTGTTGTTTATCCATGAAGTTGATTGTAAAAACTAAAATCATTTTATCATATATAAATGAAAATGAACTTACAACAAAATATGTCGCATAAGTCGTAAATTATAGTCCGAATAATAATTATAAATTTATTCCATAAATAAATATGTCTAACTTTTTTTTACGTTTTCATGATATATTTTCTCTCTCATTTTCATCGATTCTTAATCGATCAACAGCTTTTCCTTTTACTTTCGAATTATTTGTCTGCTGATTGGCTAATACTCCTAACACCACATCATCATCATCACTTGCACTTGCTGAAGAACTAAGCTCGTGTAAGGATGACGAACCATTATTTTGAGGTTGTCCGGTAGGATTTGTTGAAGGTGAACCCATCGTACCTTCATCTTCTTCAGCAATTTCACCAAGTCTGAGCGAATTATTTAGATTTTGTGGTGATGGTGATGGTGATCTATTATCGATATCATCGAGAAAAGGCATCTGAGAAGTATCTGAGAGACTCGATGGTAATGTGCGGCCAAGAATTGAATTTAAATTGGGATCTTCCCCTTCATCTGATGTGTTCCGATTTCTTGAAGGTATATTTACAGCAGAAGATGATGGAGATGGGGATAAAGCGAACGCTGAATGGCTAGTATGACCAAACCGTTCATTAATTTCTTCTTGTGTCATAAGATGATTATCTTGTGGGGTAGGAGGTAAAAGCTTATCTGTGTTTAAAGTTTCTATTGTATTCGGTGCATTTGATGTTATATATGATGTAGAAGGTACATTACGAGAAGTTATTTCGTTTTGTTCCTCATTCGTATTACTTTTTGCTTCATTTTTCTCGGCTTCCTCTTGTTCAGCAAGTAATTGTTCCCAATCAACTTGATTATCAATAGGTGCTTCTAAATCTGCATAACTCCGGCAAATTGGACACGAAAGACCTGGATGATGGTTAATTAAAAGCGGTCGTATACATTTATAATGGAAAACATGAGAGCAAGGTGCAACGAATAATGCTTGACAAGGGCCAATGCCACATAAACAAATACAGCAATCCGTTGTTTGATGTTTAACAGCGTCTGGACCTGTCAATTGTCTTAATTGTTTCAATGCATTAAGACTAAAGGATAAAATTATTCAATTTTTTTTTTTTAAAAAAAAAAATGAAAAGAAACAAATTATTATTATAATTAAAAAAAATATTTGAGAATTTTTAGAATTGTTTAATAATATTTTAAACAAGCTTACTTAAATGGATTAAGTTGTCTTTGCCATGAACGATTTAGCTCTATGCGCATTTTTACACATCGATAAATTTCTATTAAAAATGAAAAATATAAGTAAATTTGAAAATTATAATTGCTAAGATTGATTCGTTTATCTTACCTTCTGTTCCTCCTTGATAGTCAACTCCAAGTTGAACAATATCACCATCTTTTAATGAAAATGGTTTGCTTTCAACACCTGGAGCAGATAATCTATTGTGGTTAAGGAATGTGCCAGATGATGACTTTGTATCTCTAATTAAAAACTATGTAAAAAAAGAATAAAATTTATAACTATAATCTGAATTTCATATTTGATAAATGCGGTACGAATTCGACCAAATACCACACCCTTAACTATTTTCTCCCCATACTAATAAAAATTTAATTAAATACCTTTCCGTCTTCATTCCAAATTTCTGCATGTCCTCTAGACACAACTTTACTTTTAAAAGTAACTCTATTAGGAACATTAGCTTTATCTGTAAAACGTCCAATTTTTATAACAACTCCTTCAGAAACTTCACGCTCGATGATGTCGAAATGCAGAGAACGAGGTCCCTCTATATGAGGTACTATACGAATAGCAGGTGGTTGATCTTGTGGTGGCTGTGGTGACATGTTTTTTGTCGACGTTACAGAATTATTGTATTTTCTAATTCAACTATAGATAGATGTAGGGTTTTCGTTGTTGGGTTGGTAACTTTTTAGACTTGCGGGGCTAATGGATACACAAAAAAATTTTGCCTATATGATGACATTTGATAGGGCTTTTTATACAGCATCAAATATTATTATATTATGTATCACATGACATTAGTAAAACGTTGGCACTCCGTGTTAGATTTAGGCATATTTTTTGTTACATGACACGCAGATTTTACCAGAATTGGAAGTTTCAAACCATGCAGTATTATGAATTTAATCCCATATATGAATTTATATTGACGCCAAATTTTGAAATGAAGATTGATATGCGTTTAATGTATGATCGTGAAACTTGTATAATCAGTCTTTCGGTAGCTCCGACAGCTCGATAGTCCTCTTTTTTTTTACAAATAAAATATAGCGAAAGCGAATCGGCTTATATTTATTTCGAAAGCTATCTTTATTCGAAATTTTAAAATGAATTTTATGATCAATTCGACCTATTTGTTTTCAATCTCGAGTTCGGTCAAAGATCATATTTAACATCATCTTGAATAGTTGTTGCATTGATAAACCATTACGTAAGGTTTGACAAAAGATATGACTGACGTTTTTATGATGAACAAATCATCGAATTAGGCACAATCCAATACTTGTTTAAGATCAAATAAATATATAAAAAAATTAATTTATTTTAAAAAAGAAACAATAGTTAGTTATTCGAGTCAAAATCTATAAATTATTATATATTAGCATTATAATTATAGTTTAATAAACGCCCAATTCTTCACCGACTTTTCTCAAACATTCTTTTAGTAAAGCTCTGATAGTTTCGTCCGGTAAGTTAATTGCTTCACATACGACAGGATATAAATAAAATAGATGTGCAATATGTCCAGACAAAACTTGTTTTTTTAATGGATCTATTGAACATATATATTAATTAAAAGTTTGTGTTTATTTAAAATATAAATAAATTGTCAATCGTTAAAAAAAACTTACTGGATTCTGCTTCTTTCTCGTTAACGTCTAAAATATTACGGCGAAACTTCAATTTTATTAATTGTTGCAAAATTAATAGAATTTCGTCGTTTCGTACCCTGGAAGAAAGGCTAATGTTTAAATCATGTACTATTAACCAATTCGCCCTCTTAAGTGATCAACAAATACATTCCCAACACCACAAAATATATGGTTGAACTGACCTTGAAAATGGCACTTTACCGAGTAAAGGTTGATCTGCTGTAAAATTACGAATTACGGAAGCGCATCGTTCCAATAAAATAGGAGCAGCGACTTCAGCTATTCTCTGTCGTATTTCTTGTTCACCAGTTTGATCATCCGAACATAAATCAAATAAACATTGTAGACAAGCATACGCAAATCGTTCTCTAGCTACAGGTACAATTTTTGCGGTACTGCCTTCCACTTTTTCGGATAATTTCTCTAGAGATTTTTTGGTACGGGATGGTGTTCCATTTGGTATTGGTAAGGGTTTGTTTAAATAATCATTCATAATTTCTTGTCTCTTCACTTCGGAGAAATATAATTGTGATCCTTCTTGAATAGTTTTTACTAAATCCCTTATTAGATTTTGTGGCACACGAGGACGACCCATATGAACCATTACGTCCGACTGTATTCGGAATAAAAAATTCATGTCGAAATCTTCATCAGTATCTTGCTGTTCCATCTTGATAGACGTTTGAGGATTACTGGTAAACAATGTATATAATATAAATATAACTTTATTTTTAATAAAAATTTTCCCGAATATTGTCAATACAATTTTTACCTGTTAGAAATAAGTGCACCATAAAGGACATCCACCAATTGTTTCCATGTATTAACAAAACATTCATCTGAAATTACTAATGGAAAAAAAATATATATCTTAATAACTATTATTAATTTTTTTTAATGAATAATAATAATAAAAAGATTTTTACCGTCACCGAAATTCTCAAGTGCGGTCAATCCGTCTTTTACGATTTCTAATAAAGCTGTAGTCGCAATTTTCCAAAGTTCGATATCTTCAACATGCTTTCCCGATGGAGGACAATTATATTTCAACTTCATGGGTACTCCATATGACTAGTATATTGTCAACAAAATCAGAAATATCAACAAAAGAAAAATGTTCGAACTTATTTTGATTAAATATTAATTACCTTTATAATTTTTGCGAAAGCCCCCTCAGAGTAAACTCCTTGATCATTAACAAATTTTTTGAACAATTCCTTTGCTTTACGCATAGATGTCTTTGAAAAAACAATATAAGTAACTGTCGAATAAGATTTATTTGAAGTAATACCACCACCATTTTCTCTAGGCGAAGTTGGACTGTTCACAGATTTCTGTGAGCCAATGTGACTGTCCTTAGATTTTTTTTTCCTAGCAACTTCTTCGTCGTCTTGTTTTTTTGTAAAAGCTAAAGTTATATAATCCGCAAATTCACATAAAACTGCAGCAGGAGCACCTGGAACACTCAAATCAATTCTAGAAACAATATCTAATGCCGCTTCTTGTAATGGAGTAAGATAATCGTAGTCTGGTCTATAAGAAGGACTTTTGGAATATGCTAATATTCCTTTAATTACTTTAAGTAATCTTCTTATTTCATCTATTTGAAATTTGGAGCGAATAACATGATAAAGATCGCCAAAAGTTACAATGTAAGCGGTTAAAGTATCTTGAGTAAACTGTGTCGGTACGACACTTATTTCGGCCGGAGAATTATTATAATTAACTTCTAAGTCACGAAGACTTGTATCTGATATTGTAATCATACCCGATCCAATTCTCTCCCAAATAATCCAAGCAGTTTGCCACAATGGTAAAATCTTTTCTTTAAATTCTTCTGTATATTCTTCTGTATGAGCATCATCTGGGAATTGAATTATTGTATTTAAAGATTTAATTGAAGCAATAGCTACTTCATGGCTCGAATTTAAACAAGAATCTTGCAAATGTGATAATAATAATCCCCATGCTTGTTCAAAATCAGCCAAATTTACTAACATGTGTAAAAAATTTTTGAAAATTCCTGATATTCCAGTTAATACTAAAACTTTTGTTTCGTCCCATTGTTTATCAACTGTATTTCTAGAATGATGTACCATAAATCCACTGAATTCTTTTTGTGGAGAAGAAATTTTTTCGGTACTACTATTTAATTGTTGCTGCTGCATTGCTTTAACTGCTCGTTCTGATGCAAGTTTTACAGAATCTAATAAAGGAAACAAAACTTTCCAAGTGCAAGTATGCCAAGTTTGAGTTTTTAATACTGCCCCATTCATATCAATTGTACGAAATAAAGTTTGATTTGCTCCATTTCTTACTTCAGGCCTAGTATCAGAGCATATCTTTGAAAGTTGTAATAATAATAACATCCATAGAGCGTTCATTGTTTGAGCTTTCAATTTACCTTGAATTAATTGATCAATTTCCTGTTCAACTGTAATATCTTTTTTAGTTTCTGTCGGTTCTTCCTCGACGTTTTCTTTAGCATCTTTTTCTAATTCTGCCCTCTTAGTTTGAATAAAATCCGAGACATTCCATAATAGACCAATTGCGGTCAAACTAATATTCAGATCATCCATTTGTAAACCAAATGCGCTCAATGTATTGATGCATTGTTTCAAACACTCGGGTGATAATAATGACAGGAAATCTGTACATATAAGTTGTAAACAGGGAAATGCTACACGAACCAAACCAGAAGTTTTTGTATTTGAAACACCAAAAGATGGTGCATCAATTACGCTTGTACTTTCAACACTCGCTGTATCTGTCTCATCATCGCCAGGTTCACTAGGAAAAGATACAATGCAAACGCTTCTTATCATGTCAAATATCATACTCCAACCATAAGTAAATGAATGGCCTGATGTTTGTAATAATTTATTCAACGTTTCAAGACCCATCTTTCTAACTTCAACATGAAAACTTTTGCTCACGTCTTGTGGATTTTTTTCTGGATTATTTACTAATTGACTTAATGAAACGAGCAATTGCATTTGTATTCTTTCGTCAATTTCGATTTGCTCAGAACTTGCATAGCTCATTGCTTGAATGACAATATCTGCAATTGTTTCACAAGATTGCATACGAATTGGTGGAGGAGTAGATACGTAATTTGCAGTTTTAATGAGATGAGATATTATTAAATCCCATATTAGGGAAGGTTCACGTGCTATCAACCGGGGCATGTTGATTAATGCAACTAAGTGAAGTTTGTTGATAGCAAAAGATTTTTCATCTGACTTCTACAAGGAATGTAAATATAAAGATTACATGTAAAACCATTGTAATTCAATACATGGATATTTAAGAACTTTCAAGAAAATAATTCATTCTTACATTCCCTACCATAGCACTCAACGGTGTAGATTTGGTTATCTTGCCCTCCGTAGGTACGTTATCTTGTCCTGATATTGAATCTTCAGTGTCCAATGGAATACCACTTGTATAAGCATTTAACTTACATAATGCTCTTGTGAAAGCCTGTAAAGCATCGTCATCAAGATATTTGCAATTTTCAAATAATTTCTTGATTTGTATTAATAAAATGTTTAAATCATTGTCAATTGCTGTTTGCTGAGATGTTAAATTTGTCTGATTAGATGAACCATGTTTCGGCGATGAAGGAATGATATTTCCTTTACTGGATGAATAAGTTCTTTTTATGCTTGGTGGATTAGAAGATATTTGTGATGAACTTCCTGCAGTGGGTAACGAAGTTACAGAATTAGATGCAGGATTTTGCGATCCTATTCTACGTGAACCTCTTGAACCACCTCTAGCATGTTTAGGGAAGAGTATAAAATCTGCTAATTGAAGAGTTTCTAGCACCAAATACCAAGAATCACCCAAAACTCCTCCAAGATACTGTGCAATATTTAATAATATTTTTAAGCAAGATAAATTCCCATCTGATAATGTAACACCTTGAGGGGTTTCACTTCCCGTACTACTTGAACTTCCACCACTATGAGTTGCTTTACTTTCTGCCAGTGAAGCAGCAATTAAACTAGGAGGAACGGCTCCTTTACATAAACTTGTCAAAAAAGCATCACGAGGTGTAGACAATTGAAGAACACCACATACAATTGTAAAATTTTGGTAAGCCCTTAAAACACCTTGAAATAACTCCTCATCTAGATTTGCTGTAAGAAAGAATGATTGTGCTGCAAGCAATCCTGGCCAGGCAGTATTAGCCATATCTGTAACAATCAGTATATCATTGTAAAGTGGATGTGATTCTAATTGTTGCAATGTGGTAGTGCTAAAAGATGCAGATTGATTATATGTAGGTGACTGTGGAGGTGATGATGCTTTCTCGTTTTTTTGTTTATGAATTAATCCGGAGAAAATACTCAAAACAAAATTATGCAAACCATCAGCTACTGAATTAAGACAAATAAGAGCAAGATAATATATGTACGTTTCCGGGATCTGTGGTGGATCAACTTTATCTAATTGATCGACACTTCAAAAAGAATGTATTGTAAAATTATAAACATAATCAAATTTCGATAATATTTAAATTAAATGTACATACCAATTTATCTTCATCATCGAATTTGATGCTGTTAATCCAGGTACATCAGTCTGTCCTGAACCTCCAATTACACCAGCCATTCCAGATAATTCTAAACTTTCTCTCCCTTGATGTAAATGTCCAATTAATGAATGACTTCCAACACCCAATAATTGTGGTTTTTCGGCCGCCAATTTTCCAAAAGCATTAACCATTTCACGAAATACATTCGTTGAATGACCTTGTTTATCATACAAGCGGTAAATAGAACGCAAGAGTGCTTGATCATCGCATATACCACGAAATATTTCCATTGATATAACACGTTGCCACAATGGATTATCGGGCTCGAGAATTTTGATAAACATATTTAAGAATATTTCGCATTCCATTACCTAATTTCATGGGTTAAATCACCATAATATAATAAAAGAGTAACAATAACTCTTAAAAGCATAATTCAACAATAAAATTCAATTACTCTATCTATCCAATAACTTAGGACAAAAGTAAATCTAAGTATTAATAAATAAACATTTACCAGAATTTCATTAAATTGTTTCAATAAAATGTGAACCAATCTCATTAATCTCATGATGGTAGGAAAGTCAAATTTATCAGAGAAATTTTTAATAATTAAAGGACACACGCGTTCTCGAAGTAGGGCACAAAACTCTGGGTGCTATAATAACGTATGAAAATTAAAATTAAAATGATAATATTAAAGAACATGCGATTATAGCCATATGGTACAAACCGTTTTAAATAATCTAAAATGATTTGTTAATATTGACTCTATTAATTCTAATCCAAATGTTCTTGATAAATTATGTAGTTTAAGATACACGGGATTTTCGCCATTAGTTAATAAACACAAATCTTGAAAAAGATAATATGCGTCTCTTGCACAAGGACGAAGTGCTATTACGCCTTCTCCATGAACTGAAACAACGGTAGAGGTAGGTTTTATTGACCCTTGGATAAAAAATTAAGTATTTTAATAGTCCTATTTTTTTTCCAAAAAAAAAAAAAAAAAAAAAAAAAATAGGCACATATTAAAATAAAATACCATCTTTATCATTGATGCTGTCCTCCTCTTGAACTTTATCAAATATGTTAATTACTAACTGACGCAAAGTTGCTGCAGCTGTATTATTTACTACTACAATCTTTGAATCTTGAAGTCGAAAACATATTAACAACGCCTAGAACAAATAATATTTATAATTATTATCTTATTTAAAAAATTTTTTTTTTTACAAATTAACCTTAAAATCGGATTACCTCCGCTAACAAATCGCCATGTAAAGTTTGATAATTACTTAACAAAGGTGGCACCGTTTGAAGAATTTTAAGTTGAATGTCTACACCTTGTGACATAATGTCATTTAGGGTTTTAAGAACGGTTCTCACAGAAGACTAATTAAGTATAACATTTTAAATAATGATAGATCGAGTAAGTGATTATATGATATATTGTCACGTTGAACTTTACCTCAGGAATCGCGTGGTGCGATATAAGTCTTTGTAAGCAACCTATAGAAATTGTTATCAATTTGACATGTTTTGTTTCACATGCAAGAATAAACGGACGCAGGAAATCATTGTTTTTTGCAAGTTCTTAATAAAATTGAATAATGTTAGATATTATATTAATAAAAGTGTAAATATCAATAATTTATCGACAAATCGAGTTTACCTTGCGATATATTCATTCCAGGTCGCTCTTTGTGTGTTCTTAAAATTATAATGGATCTCTCGGCTGCCTATACTCATAAATAAATAATTGTAATTATTATAAATCAAAAAACCAAAAAAGTATGACCCGCAGCAAAATTCAGGAAGGCTTAGCAAAGTAATATATTATACATAATCATATATTTTATAATAATAGCAAAGCAGAAAGATTAAACTATTAAGAATAATAAGGAAAATATTTTGACGTCGTCAAAGGCGATTGGTGTAAATTACCTCTTTAATTTCTGGGTGTTTCCTGCGAGCTTCATTTGAAAGCTGCAGGAGTTCGGCGTTTAAAGAAGCGATAAGTCCACTCATTTTTGAAAATATTTGCCAATTTATAATATCTACAAAGACAACGGTATAAATTGGACCATCAGCAGCCTTCCGATCTATAAAATTTTAAAAAAATAATTTACAACAAATCTAAGCGAAAAAATTTCTTCAAAAAATTTCAAAATGATGATCTCAACAAATATCTATCCACCCAATCATACCGTGCGACTCATGTTGTCTGACGGCTCAAAATTTAGTTCGTAATCCGTGGGGTAATTAATACCAAGAATCTAGATAAATCTGGAGGATGGACACGAAGAGTATACTGTATATTAAAATATATTGAACCTATATTAAAAGATTATTAACAATATTGACCTACAAGGAAAATCTTTTTTTTGTTATATAAAAATGTTAAGATAATAAAGTTAAATATGTATATAGTGAAACTATATAGTGAAACTTTTAGGAAATTATTAGATATTAGTTTATAAATGTGGAATTGTGGAATTATTAGATCGTTGACACGTCGTACAAAAAATTAAAGCTTATCATTTATCAAAGCTCCCATGATAGTGTTTTTCTCAGATTTTTCATAGTTATTTATTTTTTAAAAAATTAGTCATGAGTGACATTCCAGCTAATACAGGGAACGAAGAATCAAGTACTTCCAATAAACAATCAACTTCTGAAGAACATGTTAAGAATGACGAATCTACGGAGCATTTAGAAGAATCGGCAACGAAAATAGCTAATGCTTGGCGATACCACCGGTAATTAAATTGCATACTCGAATATTAACAATAAAATTAACGATTTAAGCTGAAACTGGTTTACAATATCTTTATATTAGTAAAACGCGGGAAGAAGAGGGAAAAATCTTATCTGCCAATTCCAGAGACATGATTATCAAAAGCAATAGTTCATGTCTTCATTTGCCTGGGCAAACTTGCCCTGTCTGGTCTCAATGGGAAGAACTGCTCAATGCCGTAGAAGAACATTTACGTCGTAAAGAATTACGTGAAGAACCTCCAAGCACTAGTCAAAAATTTGAACTTGCTATGACCGTGGTAGAACGTATTGCAAAAGTACTTGTTGAACTTTACTGTTTTTTATTATTCTTACAAAACGTGCTGACGCAGGAATTATGATGTAAAATTTTGACCATCAATGTGGTTTTTTTGATTAGTGTCAAAAGTTTATTCAATATCTATGACCTTTTCTTTTTACTATCTGATTGTCTCGATATTCAAGGGGTCTAGTTCTGTCAAGAATCATCTCTGGCTCATCCTGGACACAGAACACTGGTTGGAAATATGTGATGAGAAGCATCGATATGGATCAAACCTAAAGGTTCGTTTGTTAATAATCATTATTAATGAATTTTTATTTTAATATTTTTTTTTAAGAAGAAAAATTAATTAAAATATTATCAATATTTAGGTTTACCATGATTACTGGCTCAAGACATCATCACCAGAAAATTTTTTCGAATGGTTAGATAATGGTTCAGGTAAAACTTTGGATTTGGAAGCTAGACCACGTAGATTATTGGACAGTCAACTAGTAAAGTATCTTACATCAAAAGAACGTGCAGAACACGAAGTAATTTTTAAGGATGGATTGCTCATCTATGCACAAAGCGGGAAGCCAGTACATACCAATCCACCGGATCCCGATTCCGTAGCCCCGGCAGATAGTACACAAAATTTATCTATACCAAATACAACTGAACCTCGTTCATTATCACCCGCACCTAGTTCTCAAGGAAGTTTAAATGAAGAAATTGAAGACCCAACTTCAACTGGACCGACACGACGGGAAAGTACCGAAATTGGGCCTAGACGTGAAAAATGGATTTATGTCACAGACTGTAGTGGAAAATTTTATGTAGGCCAAAAAACAAAAGGTCATTTTCATCATTCATCATTTCTTGCAGGAGGGGCTATCTGTGCAGCCGGAGGAATTAAGGTTCGAGAAGGTAAACTTCTTGAAATTAATCCAAATAGTGGACATTATAAGCCAGCACAACATCATTTCAAAGCACTTGTCGATCGATTAGTCGGCGAGGGAATTGATATTAGTGACGTAAAAGTAACCTATCCAAATGAAAATCTTGAGAAGAGATTAATGGCCAAATACAAATTTAAACGTTTAGCAATGTTTAGTATGGTTTATGAAGAACTTATGCGAGATGCTAGCAATACAATTAATCAAAAGATTGATTTTATGGATCGTCACGTTTCTATTTTCAAAAGAAATGTGACAGAAACCATTAATTCTTGTAAGGAATCCATTAAAGATTGGATACGACGAATTATGCCAGGCGACGATGATATGGCAGAAAATCATATACCTGATAATGATCAACAAAATGGCCTTCATTAAAATTATTACACATTTTTTATAATTTTATATCCTTTATATATTTTTTTTAAAGATGAGTATTTAATTATCATAATTAAGTTTAAATTTATTTGGTGAACAAATTATAATTTATGTGATGGAATGGAAATAAATTTATTAATTATTAGAATCTCGTAATCAAGTACAGTAATGATATCATTAATAATATAAATAACAATGTATCAATCATTATATCATTATTCAAATAATAAATAAACCTCAAATTGACATAAATTTTAAGTTTTAAATTGTGTTTTAATGTTTTTATATTCTTGAAATACAGTACATATATTAAAAAATGAAGTATATTAAATTTTAAAACATTATCCTGTTCAAAAGTAATTACTCCAACTATTTCATGGAACAATTTTAATCGCAATTTGTATCGAAAATCTCAAGAAACAAGGATCTTATTATATCCAAGAAGAACGAGTTGAAAATAAGATACTTTATATGATGAACCTTTAAAAAGAATTAACTATTATATTCATAAATAAAATGAAATTAAAAAATGGTAAAAATGGAGAAACCGATGGTAAGAATCAATAAAAATTATTAATATATAATAAAGATACTTTAAAACACGGAAACAAAAAGGATATATTAATTGAATAACCTTCGGATAAAATCAAAGAGTAACGCAGATTCCATATATCCTTTCTTGGACTGATTTGGAACCTTTCTTATCACAAAGCTCTTTGAAAGATGAAATCAATCACTTTGATGAAGACCTTTTTGATTTTCTTTTCGGAAAAGATGATATTGCCCATTAAGAATGAATGTAACACACAAGCCATCGTTGATTATAAGGAACGTGGATTATTATTCATGCGACCAATCGATCTACAATTATTGGATAAATTATTTCTATTAACAAACGACCATTTATTACATTTATTTCTCTAAAGCTCATTGAATTCTTTTCAAAAAAAAAAAAAAAAAAAATTTTTTTTATGATCATTGATAACCATCATAGTATTAAAGTTTCTTGTGATGATGAACATGAATTGATGCCTATTTATAACTTGAACCGGCATGAGCTCTGTGATAGATTTTATCTCGGATTGCGCTAATAAATACTTGCTTGGCAAGGCTTAAAAACATTTCTATACAAAGTTAGTAAATAAATATATAAGAGATCAGCTTATTGGTATGTTTATCATAATAGGGAAATATGGCTTTTTATTTTAAAAGAAAAACGTGCGATGTGCGCTTTACGGCAATGAGTGTCGACTTGGAAAAATACTTTAGATTTTGTGCTTGAGGCTTTGTTGTACTTCTTATTCCGTAATTTAATATTTTTTTTTTTTTTTTTTTTTTTAAAAAAAAAAAAAAATTAGCTACATTTTTTTAAAATAAATGTGTTCATCTTTTTATTCATAATCATTTTTTTAGATTAATAGATGTTTATGAAAGTATGTCATCTGTGGGGTAAGTCATCCCTTTAATAGTTTAGTAAATCTTCCTTTACGAATGATTTCAATAAACAAGAAGTGTAACAGGTTTTTTCTGCTGAATGCCGATTGAATGAAAATAGCGGGAAGTTGTGGGGGAAATATTTCAAAGCAGTCATGTGACGTCAACAAAAAGTGACATTCAGTGATCGTGATATTTTGGTCACACAAGAAAAGATAAAAACTCTTCGGAAGGAAAAGAAAAAAAAATTTTAATTAGATTAAGCATCTTCAGCCCATCCTTTAAAACTTGACTACTAAAAAGAAGAAAGAATGGGTGGATGATTCACAAGACAAAATGACAGGTTTTTTATGGGATTGATGAACAAATAACCTATTTTCGGAAGAATTTCTTATGCTAAACCAAATAAAGATTAGATTGAAATTCCTCATAAATAAATTAAATTTCCTTTACCGCGGATCATTATTACACATAAACATTAAATATTAAATATTGTTCCTTATCATTTGAAATTCCAAAACTCACGAATACTTTTGTTGGTTAAGTAAATTGACATCAACTCACACGATGATTTGGTACACAAACAAATAAAAAAATTTCTCTTAAAAAAAAAAAAAAAGAACAATCCATCCAAATAGATCTAATTATTTACGATTATGTCACTCAATTATTCTATTTTTAATTCTATGTGCCGCAGTAATCAATTTTTTACCTCCGCACTGATTTACATGCAACTATAGAACTATGATTATAGTTTGATAAGTTTGATAATTGGTTGTGCTTGTGGCCTGATTTACCCTGAGATTATTCTTTTTCTTCTATTTCTTCTACGATAGCATGTGATCAATGCCATGTGGCACATTCAAACTATATCGAGAATAGTAATATGATATTTTGGAAATAATTATTGTAAACAATCATGCCAATGTGCGAGAATTTTACACCACCAGATATTTGGTAATCTAAAAAAAAACAATTATATGAGAACAAATAGTCGATGATTGAAAGATTTTTATCTTTCAATAAATGTTATTTTTATTACTTTCAGGAATGTTTCTTTTTTTTTCTTTCTTCCTCCCCTTTTTTCCTTTTATTCCGATAATTCATTCATCAACAATTCAAATGCTCGTCATCAACTTTGTCATCCATGACATAAAGAAGTTACATTAGTTACTATTATTGAAGAATGAATTGTTTGTTTTCAAAAAAAAAAAAAAAAAAAA